CAAAATTTGACTACCAAATAGAAACATCACTATGATATTCAAGCATATAATAAAAGTCTATAGAGTAACAACATGCAAATAATTTGATATCCAATAGCATATCTAAACTTCACAGCTCTTATGAAGGTATCAAAATAATAAAGCCATTAAAGAAGTAGAAAGCACATAAATACAGTCGTACACTTCGGAGAATGCCAGTCCGGTGTCTCCATTTGCTCCGGGCTGAAAAATATCACGCCACCATATTAAATATCAAATCTCTATTGACCCACACCCACAGAGAGAGAGAGAGAGAGAGAGAGAGGGGAAGAGGGTGTACCACCAACGCATATAAGAAATCCGACTTTAATGCTATGTGCGTAGCACATGAACGGCATTGATAAAACTCCTCCTCGGAGTTGAAGCGCTGGACAACACCGACATTCGCCATTGCTGATCGAAACCAAACTCAGTAGCACTGAACAAGATTCTTGATTGTGGAAGGTTCAATTGAAGTCAACTCCTAGACCATGTGAAAATCTCCTTAATTGAAGTCAACACCGACATTCGACATTCGCCTTAATTGAAGTCAACTCCTAGACCATGTGAAAATCTCCTAAATATTTTGTTTTCTTGTCCATAGTATTCGAGCTTTAGTTAGCATCTCAAATTCCCAATATCCCAAAAATAATAATAATAATAATAATAACTTTTTTTATCAGAAGTAAAAACAAATAAATAACTTCAACATCACAAATTACAACTAATTTCGAAAATACCAACATTTTAAGCACTCACAATTTTCATACAGAAATTTCAGCATTCATAGACAGACACAATCAAATATAAACACACTAGTAAGTGAGATACACAATTATCTCCAATATAGTCTCCACTCCATCGGTATTATGCTGGCTGGACACTGCCGGAATGGTCTTAACTATGGCATGGCCTTTAGCATTGACATACTTCCCAGTGCCACCCATGATGGCAAGGTGTGATTCCGAGACAGCGGTCCGGTGGACACCGAAGAAGCTGAGACTATCAACGTAACTGCCACTCGTAAACATGACGTTGAACGCCATGGTTTGGCTTGTTCCATCTTCTGAACTCGCTATATAAAACCCTTGTGCTTTACCAACCAAACCAGAACCGAGATCATGCCCTTCGGTTAATTCATCGTCAAACACGGTTATTGTCCCAAACATGAGCTTCTGGAGGGCATTCCCTCCGGGGAGCTGGGCACTATTCAGGGCTGGAAACCCGAACCCTCCACCGATGATGTTGTTTCCATTGTTTTTGCATCACATTAGGTGTAGTTCCACCAAGTCCAGTGAGGAAGGGTAAGTTGTTGTTGTTGATAACTCCACTGTTGGCGTTGTTGACTGGGACGCCATTGTTAACTGGGAGGACAGCACCGTTGGGCTTGGCGAACGGGACTTGACCATTAAGAGCTGGGTTCACTACCATTCCAGTCACAGCTCTAGCTGAGGGGTTTGTACCACCAAGTATGTCATGCAAGAAGAAGGAAAAGGTATGATCATCAGGGACTGCAGCACCCAGTGCAGCAACTGGGGCAGTACCTGCTGGGGTTCCACCGGAAACGGGTTGGTCCACTGAATCAGATGCCACAGGTGCAACAACAGGGCCAAGCGGTTCTTCCTCGTCGAGGACTCGAGCTGAGGTGACATATGTGATTGTGATGGCTAGAAAAACTAGGGAGAGCTTCCTTTTGAGTGAGAGAGGAAAGGAATTTTTGGATGCCATGAGGTTGAGAGAATAATGTAAAGCTTTTGGATACTGAGGTTTGATTGAGAAGGCTGTTGGTTTGATGGGATAGATTGATTGGTTGTTTATATACACTGTAAAAGGAAGATTGAAGTTCAAAGAATTATAGGGGAGTTGATGAAATGGAGCAGGTGATTACGTTACCCACTTTTGGGTGTATTAGTTAGAACTTGTAACACCAAGTTTGAAGTTTAAAATACTGATTAGGTCGATATAGAGGGCTGTGTTTAGAAATGATACAAGCAATGAAAAATACTTTAGATACAAAGTAATTCTGCTCAAGTACTAGAGATCTCAACCACAGCTCTGGTCGATGGTCCAGCAAGGAACTCATTTGGGGATGGAAAAGCGTTGCTAATAAAAAGATATCGAACTTAGTGGTGAACTGGTAACTGCCTCGCAAACAACTGCACATAGACAGCAAAGCAACCATAAATCTATCGTAAGGACCACTTGTACAAGACGTCAACTTTTCAATTTAAATTTTGTAAGTTCAGCGATAAAATTGATCTCCTTCAGAAACGTGAACTCAGCCACGAAAATCCATCTGCGAGTTCGTAAACACGATACACACACTCGCAAATTGAAGCTCGTCTCTTTCCTGGTCCTGGCTCGTGTGATGGCGAAAACGAGAAGCAAAAGAGACGCGGACGAATGTTGGCTCGCCGACGCGTTGAGCGCAACACGCAACACGTTTTGCCGTGGTTATCGCGCTCGTACGCGAATATTCACGTTTGTTGTGTTTCCAAACGAGGCAAACAGATGGCAGCACGTTTCTTCATCATTGTGCTGTCGTCTGTATACTAGTACGTAGTTCGGCACAGCACAAGGCGACGTGAATATTTGCGTACGAGCGCGATAACCACGGCTAAAACAGGCGATGTTCAACGTGTTGGCAGCCAGAATTCGCACGCGGATTTTTCAATTCTCTTTTCCCCTGAATATACGAGTTAGGAGGAAAAAA